ATACTCCTCTGAGGATTTTCCACCGATTGACACCAATCTCAGTCAACATGATCTCAAGACATTGGGGATGCAAAATTGCCAAGGGTTTATTTATATCTTGAACGGTTTGGCTGTGGCGAGGCGACGAAGTTATGGCGATAAATGAGAAACAGGAAGTGTCTAACAACTTTTGCACACATTGTCTGATTTTGATCAAACTTCAGCAGTTTGTTAGTTGTATGATGCCGATCGCATAGATGTGCTTATTAGGAGTCAAAGGTATAGCGCCACCAACTGACAGCAGGAAGTGTGTCATTTGAAATCAGCATCTTATTTTTACTAGATTTGCTTCAAACTTCATCAGAATAATGTCAAAACATGGCCGATGAGTATCTGAAAAGGGATCCTTGATATATTATATACTGTTGTCATGGCAACCTGTCAAACTTGAATATTCTTTTCAGGTGTTTTTGAGGCCCTTGACATGCTTAGAATTTCTTGAAACTCAATACACACATCAGTATTAATGATAGTTAGACACTGACAAAAGCTCATAAATGGTCGTGGAGGAGGTGCTCCATAGCGCCACCTTTTGTCAAAAGTGGGGGGGGGTTCGTTTTTCCTACAGACACCAAACTCGGTACATATATTGTTCTCATCAAGCCAGACAACTTTCTAATGTACAGTCATTAGCTACGACCAACAGGAAGTTGGCTATTTTGGTATGAATGTGGATTTTATCAAAAATCAGGCTGTGAATTAATGCATACTACTCTTGCAAAAATCATTCCATTCACACCAAACCTTTTCAACATGATGCCAAGATACTAAAGATGCTAAATTGTGAGCAGATTTTGGATATCTTGAACGGTGTTGCAATGGTGATTTATTAAAGTAACAGTAAAAAAAATAGTAATTTTGTTATATCTTTAAAGTGCATTATCCAAACACTTCAAAAACATTTTACTTATGGAGAACAAGTCATTCTTGGGAAACATTCTAAGTTTCATAAATGTAAAATGCTCAGGGGCCAACCAAAATTAAAAACTATCAGACAGTTATTGTGATAGATGAAGACTGTAATACTAAGGTTGTCCACCAGAGGTTATCATATGATAATAAATAATTGAAGAAGCCTGTTCTTGTTCAGCCTCCATTCATTAAATAAATGCCTTGAATTAGATGATATGTACTGTATGTACTGTCAGTACAGTTTCACATATTTATTATATAAATGCTTATGGAGCATTAAAATCATTTTTAAAAAATCGTATAGATCATTTAATGTTTTATACACTACCAGTCAAACGTTTTTGAACAGTAAGATTTTTTAATGTTTTAAAGTAATCTTTTCTGTTCAAGTAGAGCAAAAAAAGTACAATTTTGAAATATTTTTACTATTTAAAATAACTGTTTTCTATTTGAATATATTTTAAAATTTAATTTATTCCTGTGATTGAAAATAGCTGAGTAATTTTTTTCAGGTTTCATTGATAATTAGAAAGTTCAGAAGAACAGCATTGATCTGAAATAGAAATCTTTTGTAAAATTATAAACGTTTGATCAATTTAATACATCCTTGCTAAATAAAAGTATTAATTTATATAATTTTGTTCCCCAAAAAATGAATAAATAAATAAAGAAATTATACAGACTTCCAGCTTTTGAATGGTATAATGTATAATGTTACAAACACTTTTTATTTAAGATAAATAATGATCTTTTGATCTTTATATTCATCAGAGAATCCTGAAAAATTTACTCACCTGTTTTAAATATTGATGATGATGATAATAATAATAATAATAATAATAATAATAATAATAATAATAACAATAACAATAATAATAATAATAATAATAATAATAATAATAATAATAATAATAATAATAATAATAATAATAATAATAATAATAATAATAATAATAATAATAATAATAATAATAATAATAATAATAATAATAATAATAATAATAATAATAATAATAATAAAAAATATTCAAATAGAAAGCAGTTATTTTGAATAGTAAAAAAATTCACAATATTACTGATTTTGTTGTATATTTTGGATCAAATAAATGCAGGCTTGTTAAACAGAAGAGATTTCTTTATCTTGCTGGATCTGTCCACTGCTTTTGAAACGGTTAACCACCAAATCATCCTGTCAACCCTATTAGCAAAGGGCATCTCAGGAACCGCACTCCATTGGTTTGAGTCTTACCTCTCAGATAGGTACTTCAAGGTATCTTGGAGAGGTGAGGTGTCCAAGTCGCAACATCTAACTTCTAGGGTACCTCAGGGCTCAGTTATTGGACCACTTCTCTTCTCTGTCTACATGGCATCACTAGGCTCTGTCATTCAGAAACATGGCTTTTCATATCACTGCTATGCTGATGACACTCAACTCTACCTCTCATTCCATGTTGATGATCTGACGATAGCTGCTCACATCTCAGCTTGTCTAACAGACATTTCTTGCTGGATGAAGGACCATCATCTTCAAATCAACATTGCCAAGACAACTGCTTGTGGTTCCATCAAACCCATCGTTTCATCACAATTTCACCATCTAGTTCGGCACATCAACCATAACTCCTTTAAAAACAGCCAGAAACCTTGGAGTTATGATTGATGATCAGCTGACTTTCTCAGACCACATTGCTAAAACTACCCAATCCTGCAGATTTGCTTTATACAACATTAGGAAGATCAGGCCCTTTCTTTCAGAACATGCAACACAACTCCTTGTTCAAGCTCTTGTTCTATGCTCACATCTCAGCTTGTCTAACAGACATTTCTTGCTGGATGAAGGACCATCATCTTCAACTCAACCTTGCCAAGACAGAACTGCTTGTGGCTACATCAAGCCCATCGTTTCATCACAATTTCACCATCCAGTTAGGCACATCAACCATAACTCCTTCGAAAACAGCCAGAAACCTTGGACTTATGATTGATGATCAGCTGACTTTCTCAGACCACATTGCTAAAACTGCCCGGTCCTGCAGATTTGCTTTATTCAACATCAAGAAGATCAGGCCCTTTCTTTCGTACCATGCTTCACAACTTCTTGTTCAAGCTCTTGTTCTGTCCAGGTTGGACAATTGCAATGCTCTCTTGGCAGGTCTTCCAGCCAGTTCTATCAAATCTTTACAATTAATCCAGAATGCGGCAGCAAGTTTAATTTTTAATGAGCCACAAATAATGCACGTCACACCTCTGTTTATCAGTTTGCACTGCCTACCAATACCTACTCACATAAATTCCAAGGCATTAATGTTTGCCTACAAAACCACCACTGGCTCTGCACCCCTTTAACTAAATTAAATTCTTCAGATATATGTGCCCTCTAGAAGCTTGCATTCTGCGAGTGAACATTGCTTTATTGTGCCATCCCAAAGAGGCACAAAATCACTTTCATGGACCTTTATATTAAATATAAAATTGCCCCTTTTAGACTTGCACTCTATTCATTTACTAACTGCTTGTTTTCTTTAAAAAAATAAAAAAAAAAGTAAACTTTTCTAATCTTTTTGTGTTCTATCTATTTGTTTTCTTTTTATTTATTATACAATTAACAAAAGCAAAAAAAGGCCTCTAACACTAGCTTGCTATATTCTTTTTCTATTCTTTTTTCTTTTTATTATATAATTTTAAAAAATAACCCTTGCTATGTGTAAGCTAACTGAGATTTGTTATAGCACTTGCCTATCATTGCTCTTTTGTTGATTTTGATTGCTTCCAATGTCCTCATTTGTAAGTCGCTTTGGATTAAAGCGTCTGCCCAAATGACTAAATGTAATGTAAATGTAACATCAATAACAATCCTTTCTGAGGGAGAAAGTACAACTGTGCCAAGTAGTTCATTACAGTTGACATAATTATCAGTCATTTCAAATCTAATAAAATATGTATTTAATTCATTGACAAAACAAATTTCATTATCTGTCATGATAGATTTATTTAAAGATGTTAGTCCTGTCATTGTTTTTTAAAATACCCCACACCTTCTTATTGTTATTGGCCTTAAACTCATCTTCTAAACGCTGTCTATAAGATGTTTTAGCTTCCTTTAGTTTGATTTTGTTTGTGTTTTTTTTCTGCCTAAGTAATGTAAAGTTTTATTTTTAAAAGCTGTTTTCCTCTGATTCATAACTTCGTTAATATCTTTGGTTACATATTATTATTTGGATAAACTATGATCTCTTTAGTAAGAATAACCAACTGTACTCAAAAGTTAATCACTTATCACCTCAGTCCATTCACCTAGCTAGCCTTCATGAAATATTTCCCAGTCTGTCCATTCAAAGCAGGCTCTCAATTATTCTCTAGTTTCATTTGACCACAGCCTAATCACTTTCTCTTCCGGTTTACCTCTTTTAAGTTCAGTTTTATAAACTGGCATCATATGGACTACATTATAATCAGAGTTCAGTATCGGTGGTCTACACCTAGAAACATAAGCATCCTTCACATTCACAAAGTATTTGTCAAGAATGTTGTGCTTTCTTGTTTCTGACTTTACATATTGTTCAAATCCCAGTAAAACAGACTCCAGGTTACAATGATTTAAGTCTCCAAGCACTATCACAGGTGCATCTGTGTACCTAAGCTGCAGTTCATGTATGTGCTCAGCAAGTGTGTCGGTTTGCCACTGGGCGGGACGTACACCACAAACAATAAAATGCATCCAAATTCTCTTGGCAGATAAAAGGGTCTTAAAATCATGCCTAAATTTTCCACATTTGGATCACAGATCTTACATTTCACAGAGTACGCTCAGCACCATTTATCATTAATGTACATACACATCCCACCCCCTTTGCTTTTTCCTGAGTCTTTATCCCTGTTCGCTCGCACAAAGGTGAATCCATGTACCTCAAAAAGAGCATCGGGCATTGTAGATTGTAACAAACTTTCTGTAAAGCATAACAAAGATGCAAAGCGGAATTCGTTACAATACCTTGTATAAGATCTTATGATGTCCATATTGTTCAATGAGCACATACTGAAGATGAGGGATGGCAAAGGCGGCCGAGTACATCTCCGTCAGAAGTGATTCCGAATACCGCCTCTCCTTCCTCGTTTCTTGTCTTTCAATCTAATAATTTAATGTGGTATATTTTCAACCATCAAGCTTTCTAAGTGACTTGCTATCATCTCTTGACACATTTTTAAGTTTATCTCCAGCAAAGTCTTTCGGCTGTACTGCCGTATGAGCAGTGGCTTTACGCTGCTCGTATCCATTCTCCAGCTCCCATGCGTGATTGTGGTTTGCGTCTCCAAATATAATTCAGACAGGCCAATAGTCCTCAGAACTAAAACCAGGAATAGGAATACAGCTTTCTAAATAGTCATTATTCCACTTTAGTAAGACCATAGATGAACATTTAACAATAAACATTAAAGAATAAACTAAACAGACGAGCACAACATACTGAAAAGTAGTGTGCAGCTGACCAGCGCTACTCCCCAGCAAACATGCCCACTGCGGGCCCACTGCGGGTTTTCTGTGGGACAGTGCGGGTAGAGCAAACCCACGTGGGTTAGCCCATGTGGGACCACAGCGGTTTTGCCCTTTTGGGCCCCCATGAGGGTTTTCTGTGGGCAATCCACCATGTTAACAACACAGGAGAGCTAAAACTTTGTTTTAAGATTGGATGGTAATCAAAATAAACTTTTTAAATATTTTATTTTTATCTACATGCAAATGTAGCAAGATTTCTGTGACAATGACAGTAAAATGTAAACAATAAATTGTCCATAACAAAAATTTAATATATTCAACATGTCATTAAGTTAAGGCAGCAAGGTCAAATAACAATGTATTTTGAAAATGTGCCATTGCCTTTCTGATATGACATAATTCTCTCACAGGTGCATGTGAAATCAAGTCCCATTTGTGTTCCTGGTCTTATTTTATTTTAGTCTTTTATGTGTGTGTGTGTGCGTGTGTGTGTGTGTGTATGCATGTATGTATTTATTTATTTACTATTTTCTTTCACTCAGATTTGCAACCTATTTCACTCTTGTTATATATATATATATATATATATATATACTGTATGTATGTATGTATATATAGGGGCCATATATATATATATAAAACAAGAGTGAAATAGGTTGCAAATGCCATTTCATGTTGACAAACATAAACAGTCCAGATGTAAAATTTGCACGTAATATCTAATAATCTAGTCCAGTGTCCTGAACCTTTTCATTTTCTCTAGTTCATCGGCTTGGGCAGAAAAAGCAACACGTCTTCGCTCAGTTGTGTCTGATGTGCTGCCAGTTGACGTACACCAGTCCTTTCCATTATCACCAGAGTTCTTGCCCCCTTCTGGAGCAGACTGTCTGGTGTCATCTTTCTGCCTGGAGAGTGTAAGCCATGACTTGCTTTCCTTCAACCATGCCCTAGGACACATCTCCAGCCTGCTTAAAAAAGGTGGTTACCTCCTGCTTATTGGTGCCCTGGGAGAGAGCTTCTACATGGGGGCACCAGGGCTGTACATCCCTGTGGTCCCTCTGGATGAGTCTCAGGTCTGTGCTAGCCTGAAGGCCAGTGGATATGAGCTGTTGCAGTTGTGTATTTACCACCTGCCTCCAGACATGAAGGTGGGAGTGGATGATGTCACTGCTGTGTTCTTTGCAAAAGCTAAGAAAGTATAAACAATTTTAGTTAAAGAGTAGTACGTGGACTGGAAAGGTACGAGATTTATGTATGTCCTTAATTCTTCTCTTTTAAATGTGCATGAAAAAGGTTTTTGAAAACACTCATATTTGTCAGCATTTGAAATTAAATAAAGCTTGTCAAATTAAATAAATCTATAAATAAAAACGGTTGCTAATGTTTGATTTCACTCATTAAAATTATTAAAATTCCCCCCACATTCATTGCAGCTAATATTGTCTCTTGAGCATCATATGTGATAGTCTATTAGTATCTAAATAACATAATACGTCAAAATGATAGTCGCATACTGTATTGAAATAGCCAGGGGAATTTTAAACTGCATCAAAAATCACACTATACTGTATAGTGGGCAAAAGACAGTAGGCCGTGACAAAAAGGTATGTCTGAATCCACAGTACTCAAAAGAGTAGGCAAAAAGTACTTGGATGACCTTTTACTTCGAGCGAGATTCTTAAAGGGGTCATATGATGCGATTTCAAGTTTTCCTTTCTCTTTGGAGTGTTACAAGCTGATTGTGCATAGATAAGATCCCTGAAGTTGCAAAGACTAAAGTCTCAAAACCAAAGAGATATTCTTTATCAAAGTTAAGACTCTGCCACGCCCCCCTAAAACGGCTCGTTCAAACATGCCCCCACATATCTACCTCACTATGTGGCAATATTAGTATAATGCGTCCCAAATGTGCACGCAAAGAAAGAAGGCGTGGTTTCAGTAACCGCAGTTAGTGTTGAAGCAGCCATGTCAGGGTGAAAGCTGTGTGTTTCTAGGCGAAAGCAAAAGCACTTTACTTTATAGATTCTATTTACACTATGTTAAAAAGTAGGATTTTCTGCTATTTATACTAGTTATTGCAAATAGTGGCAATTATCTGCACCTCAGTATTGTAGTACATTAAAAAACAGTGCGCAGTAATAACGTGTAAATTATAATTTTAATTCAAATTATTAAATGGATGCCACCTTATTGTGATAATAAAGCCCTCCCTCCAACTACCCTAACACTGCCCAATATATTATTTTCAACTTTTAGATTTTTTTTTTTAAATAAATGCCTTTCCAATGAGATATGAGATTTGAAAAGGCAGGAAAAAAAAGTTCGGCAAATGGCGATCTCGAATTCGGGTCGATCACGTCAAAAAGTACGCGTTTTACCATCTATGCCACTGGAACTGGTGTTTGATGAGTGTCTTTTGTAGTGTTGACTAGCCCAATCACACGTTGGTGGGCGAAGTTAGTGTAAATAGCCTCTGCCAACAAGGAGATGTGAACAGAAACTTGTCATCAGCGCTGCCCCACAAATTTATCAGTAAAATAGTTTAGCAGCTGAAAAAGTATGACATTTCTCAGTAGCGAGGTTCTTCAAGCAGTTTAACTTAAAGATTCGCTATTAGACGGTGCTGCTGAACACTGCTGAGAGACGCACAGACGCACGTATTCACACACGCTTAATCTCTCTCTCTCGCTCTAATGATTGCATTTGCCTGCACATCAATGGCCCAAGCCTCTGTTATTAGCTCTAAAATGACGTTTTGGAATTTGCAACGGAAGGTTTATCTTGAAATAAATCATCTGAACAATATCTTGATGTGTGGTTGTGACACCAGGTCGTTAAAATTATTAGAGATAATAATCAATTTTTATTGACTGATTGCAAGTGCTTATTGCGATAGAAAACACTGTAACGGTTTCCACTGATTACGAAATATTTTTGTTTGCTGGGGTGGTAATATTATATAGGCCTATTAATAAGGAAGGGGGGCCCAAAAAATAGTTTTGCCTATGTCAAAATAAGAGGTAAATCCAGCCCTGGTGATGATGACTTCACCATTTAGTTGGTCTTTGGTCAGCATTACTTCATGACAAAGTTGTGAGATTGTTTCATTTTTTTAAATCTTGGCTAAAATTCCAGAAATGTCATGGGCACGTCCTCAAAAGACATCACTAGTTAAGCTGCGTTCACACCATGTCATAATCACCATAATTCTGAGATGACAACACGTGATATTCTACTCCCCAGCAAATATGCCCACGCGGGCCCACTGCAGGTTTTCTGTGGGACAGTGCGGGCAGAGCAAACCCACAGAAAATCCACATAGGGCCCCTGTGGGTTAGCCCAAGCGGGCCCACAGCGGTTTTGCCCTTTGGGGCCCCCATGATGGTTTTCCTCATAAGGCCCCAAATGAGCAAATTGCTATGGGCCCCCGAGTGGGTTTGCCAATACGGGGCCAATAGCAGTTTCCTAATTTGGGGACCTATGATGATTTTCTGTGGGCAACCCACTGTGGGCTTGCCCACCCACACAAAAAAAAAAAAAAACTCCTGGGTGTAGCCATTCGGGGCCTACAGATGTTTTGTGGATTTTGGTCCCCATTAGTGTTGTTTTTGGCGGGCTGTTTTCATTTTAGTTTTAGTCTAGTCTTTGTGTGAAGCTGTCATTTTAGTTTGTATTAGTTTTAGTCACGTTCATACTCTTTTTAGTCTAGTCAAGTTTTAGTCAACTAAAAGTCTGAGCATTTTAGTCTTATTTTAGTCAGAATTATCCATGACTATTTTCGTCTAGTTTTCGTCAACGAAAACTGATGACATTTAGTATAGTTTTAGTCAATGAAAATTGTATTTTAGTCTCTTTTTAGAAATGCAATTCTATTTAACCCAGTCAATATAGTAGAAGTACTGTAACGAATTCAATCCACTGAAGGCGAGTTGAAGTGAGAACCCAAGTGCAGTTTTATTTACAGACGTGATCCAAACAATAATCCGAGACTTGACTTGACTTGACTTGACATGAACAGACTTGACGAGACATGAACAGACTTGACGAGGCATGAACAGACTAGACTCACCGACATCGGGTTACAACTTCAATACACGACGAAGACTATGGGAACATGATGGCTACTTATATCAGACAATGAGGGTCACATCACAAGAACAAACCAATGGGAAACAAGACACATGACTAAGACTACCAATCAGAACATGACACATACACAAGGCAGAGATACATGAGGGCAAAGGAAGCATGACACTAACAGGGTGAAACAATTACAAAATAAAAGACATGGAAAACATGAACATGAAACAAAACGCAAACACCAAACCCCACATTACATATTCCCCCCTCTAATGGCGGCTCCAGACGCCCAAACAAACACAAACAAAACCCAACAAGTCCAGGAGGGTGGTGGAGTGGAGGCGGAACTGGGGAGGGACGGAGGGCCAGGCCCATGAAGTGGAACAGGCAGAGCAGGGAGCCATGGCAGAGCAGGGAGCCATGGCGGAGCAGAGACATGGACAGACAATGGTGGAGCAGGCAGAGCGGGGGGCCATGGCGGAGCAGGCAGAGCGGGG